CCTGATGAGACAGGACTTACCTTTCAGGGTTCCTGAAGTGGCTGCTAACAAGGCCTGTGAAGCCTGGCCTGGCAGGTCATCAGTGTGCTTTTTGACTGGTTTGCTACAATGTCCCGATTTTCTCGGTTTTACCATGATTGCCACCAGGTTCCTGAAAATCTTTAAACTCTTTTGCACACCTGACCTGATGTCTTTTTAAAACAGTGACAGGAGGTAAAAATCCACAGTAAATCGCCCATGCCAGCCACCTTTCCACCCAAATCACGCCCGTACCTGTAATAAGCACTTGATCCGCTCTCCTGGGGTCATGATTCCTGTTGTGAACACGCCGGATAACATGCCGGCTGCAAACAGCTGGGGGTAGCTGCGTCGAAAACAAAAACCTGTGACTAACGACGCAGGACAGTGACAACTTCCCCAGAAAAAAGGGTAGACGTCACCCCAAGCAGCGTTCTATGTGCACTCAGAAGGAGCTCTGGCAGTGCAGTGGGGAAGCACTGGACTTACAGTCAGCAGTTTGAACCCACCAGCCGCTCCGGGGGAGCAAGACCTGGAGGTCTGCCCCTCCGATGGGGATTCTGGCTGAGGAGGCCCTAAGGGTCAGCTCTACTGTCCTACAGGGTCACTGTGAGGCAGAAGGGATAAGGAATGTGCTAGGAGATGCTGAGAAAGGCCCAGATAGGGATCTCCGCTGGGCCTACTGGTCACAGGTTACCCAGGTAGGCATGCTGGATCCTCTGCTGGGCACAATTCCAACCCCCCCCACCCCAGTAACTAGAGACAGGGGGCCTCACGCTGGTGCCCGCAGAAGGAGCCATGCCGAGTATCCCAACGAGTCTGAGGCTCCCAGCATCTATCTGGCACTGCCATCTATGCCGCCTCTGGGACCTCCTTTTCTTTGGGATCAGCAATACCAGCATTGTTGGGAGACACTGGCACAAGGCTATGATGAACAGCATCTCCACAGTTCTCACAACTTAGCAAAGACTCCAAAAACTTTTCCTCCTGGTCTGTGCCTCAGGCCCCTCCTGATTCCAAGCCCCATAGGCTGGCTTTTCTCCAAAACAAGAAACCTCGGTCTTGATAAACTGAAGAACATGGCTGCAAATCCTTTCCTCCAGGCAGGCACCACCCGTCTCAGCAGCCCTGATTTTTCCGAGAATTGACCTGACCCCCGCCAGGGGTTGCGGCTCTACCCCAGATGCATTATTCCCAAACATAAACTGACTGTTTCAGAGCCAGGAGACTTGCCTTCATCCACTGGCTCCTGAGCAGTCTTGTCTCACATTGCTGTCCCCCAGGGGAACCTTCCTCCCATGAGACTAATGTGCCTGTTCTTCCTCCAAGGCCCAGAGGGCCAGACCCTAGGCTGAGCACGGCTCCAAATCCAGGGACTGCGGGTTGTCTCTGGGAAGGGGTCTCTGTGTGCACATATTCTGGAACTGCCTGGTTCAGTCTGCCACTGGCACAGGGAGGAACCTGTGAGCGCTGGGCCTTCCTGGGCTTCTATTTCACCATGTCCAGATCTGGTAATGCTATTCCCACATCACCCCAATGTGCCAGGGCCGGCAGGATTATGGGGATGGGACCCCTGAGCATCAATCCTGTTTCTCGGGGAATTGGCGTGGCTGCACAAACACTTCACCCATAGGCCAACAAAGTCCCACAATGACCCTGCTGGGGGCCCTCAGGCATGGCTCTGCTACAGCTGGGAGTCAGCACTTAGAGAAGCTATGCGTCCAGGGGTCATTTGGATTACCTTCTGCTAACACAGTTTCAGAGGTACCCTTCACACACACTTGGGCCATCTGTGTCTGTTTACTGAAGCTGGGCACATTTAGAGGGGCCGAAGGACTCCAGGAAGAGTTTCATGTTTCAAGAGCCTCTAGCTACATCTTAACACTCTCCTTAAGGAGCCCTAGCTAATGGCCTTGCCATCGGCATTGGACCACTAACCACAAAGTTGGCAGTTCAAATCCACCGGCCACTCCATGGGAGTGAAATGAGGCTGCCTGAACCTGTATAGATTTACAGCCTCAGAAACTCTGCAGAGGGTCGCTGTGAATTGGAATTGGGTAGATTCTTTCTCACTCAACCTGCTGTGTCCAGGAGTGGCCACAGAAGCCAACCACACGGCAGCCTGGGCTTCGCCCCTCTAGTTCCTGGATCCCAAGCCTGGCCAGCTCCTGTGCTACCTGCAGCCCCTCCCAGGGGCTGTCACCTGGCTCGGCTCAGACTTGGGGCACCTTGGCATGGGATGTTTCTGCTCAGAATTCCCCTGCATCCAGAGATGTCCACGATGTTCTCATGAAAGACTTTGTCAATTCTGCGCTGAAATGCTAACCCAACTGCCTCTTTGCACACAAATCCAACTTCTCAAAGTTCATGAAAAGAAAGCACCCTCACCTACTTCCCTTTAACAGAGAAACTAATGACTGGAATAAGTTACCATCACATTACAATCATGTCCTAAAAATGAAGCAAAACACCCTTCTGTCAACCAGGTGATGGAAATGATGGTGTTCCCGCAGGCGTGGCGTGGCAGCAGCACCAGGTGCTGCTCGCGGCTCCCTGCCGCACAGTTCAGCCTTCCAAAGTTCCAACAGCCCTGTAGGGTGAGCAGGACCAATATTCCCAGAAGAAACTGTGACAATGGGCAGGGGGATGGAAACAGTCTGGTGGTGGTTTGTTTGACCCCTTTTTAAGTCCCAAAGGAGACTAGTTGCATAGTGCTTACTCACTGGGCTGCTAACCACAAGGTCTGTAGGTCGAAACTACCGGTCAGCTCTGAGGGGGGAAAGTTGAGGCTTTCTATTCCCGTGAACAGTTATAATCTCGGAAACTCACAGGGGCAGCTCTACCCTTCCCTGTAGGGTTGAGATGAGTCAGAATTGACTCAATGGCAGTGAGTTTGGTTTGGTTTGGTTTGGTTTACGTCACGGGCAAAGGAAATTAGGGTACCTCCCTCATAGGGCACTCCCTGCACAGGGACACAAGAGCAGAGAGAACAGCTCTTGCATGTCTGCCAAGCCTCTTTCCTGTGGCTCACATCACACCCTCCGGCAGAACAGCACCGAGAGCTCGGGGACTGGAGTACTCACCTGAGCACATCCTCCGGCGATCTCTGCTGCAGTCTCTTTCCCAAACCATATCCAAAGAAGCACACAGCAAACATGGGAGTGACGCCAACCAAGGGGGCGGCCATGCCCCGATACAGTCCAGTGATGCCCTGCAAAGAATCGCTGAAACAGGAGCTGTTTACAGACACCAGCACCCCTGACGCCACTGCGACAGGGAGCAGCAGCTTCTAACCTGCAGCGTCTTCCTTCGCTCCTCCAAGTGGGAGAGCTTTCAAATGAAAGAAAACCCCAAATTTCTCAGGAATAATTTTCCTTTTATGGGAATCTGGTGTGGTGGGTTACGCAGTGGGTTAACCGCAAGGTCAGTAGTTTGATCCCCCAGCCACTCCAGGGAAGGAAAATGAGGCTTTTTGCTCCCATGAAGATTTACTTACCACCTCTGCTCTGTCCTATAGGGGTGCTAGGGGCTCAGTGCCAGTGGGTGGGTACACTACTGGAAGGAGTAGAAAGAGGCCACAGGCCGCTACAAGGCAGCCTACACCTCTATACTCTCTCACCCTGAACGTCTCCATCTAGAAATATATTCTGAGGAAACAGTCACTGAAGCTGAAAGAAAAGACATCAGGCATGTACTGTGTAAGCGGAAAAAAGATAAGATGAACCAGAAAGCCCTCAACAGGAGACAAAGTACAGAAAGTGCATTAATGGTGGCTACCACACAGTCATAAAACCACCTTGGAACCAGGGAAGCTACAAAACTGGCTATGTGATCTAATCTCCTGGGGGTGAAGCTACAGATGTTCAGGAAAGTTTCTGCCTTTTCCACATTAGCATGTTATCTACATTATCAAGACATGTGATTTTTATTATTAAAAATATTAATAAAAGAATATAAAATAAAAATAGTATTTTTATTATTAATAAAAGAAAAGAATATTAGGGTTGCCCATCAATTTTAACCAGTAGTGACTGATGAAGAAAGCAACTATGTGTTAGCCAATAAATAATTATATAGGGAGATAGATGGTAACCCAACTAAATAAGGCAAGGCCATGGGCAATCTGAGTCAAGAGGAGCCCAGGCATTCACCCCAACAGAGGTGAAGGGGCTTGCCAAGATGCCACGGGCCCTTAAATAGCCTGGGAAGCAGCAGGTCCAGAGAAGAGCAGGATGATGGGGGACTTCAGGAGGGGCAATGCCAGGACCAAGAGAGAGGACAAAGCAACACACACTAGAACAATAGACTCCAGCTCTGTGGGCAGAGAAAAACCAACGGAGAGGGATCACACAGAGCCACCAGGGTGCAGGATGGCCAAAAGTAGCAAGTAAAACCAAGTGACATTGGCATCTTCCCCAGGAAAAACAAAACGCAGCACAGGAAATGAAATGCACATCCTAGTCCATTATTTGGTAAAATGTATGTGGGGGTGTGTGTGTAGGATGTACAGAATTATAACCATGAAGTCAGTGAGATGGAGTGAACTATAAAATGAGATTTACGCAGGCCTGTCTGGATAGGACAGGCTGGATGAACAATCTGGAGGAGAAAACAAGGGGACTGACAGTTCCGGGGGGACATGGGAGAGGAGGAGGTGGGGGGGAAGGGAAGAGGTGTTAACAAACCCAGGGACAAGGGAACAACAAGCGATCCAAATTGATGGGGAGGTGGGTGTGGGAAACCTGGTAGGGCATGATAAAGAGGAATGTAACAAAGAGGAAGTGCTGATGGGGACGGAGCATGATAGTGGGACAGGAGGAGAATCAAGGGAAATAGAGGAAAGAGCTGGGAGGAAAAGGGCATTTATAGAGGTCTAGATAAAGACATGTACA